ACTTGACCCCTACTACCACGGGCTCCAATCAACCCCATCGTAGTTAAGTGTCTTAGTTCAATTAGGGCAGTTCCCATTGTCAAATCTGGCTTACATAAAATAGCAATCACGGCAGTCTTCAAGGATGCTGGGGCTCCCTTCACAAATTTATTCCTCACTGCACTGGTGAAAGGTATGTCTTCTGGACTCTCCATTTCTGGCTCTTCTGGTCTAATCTGATAAATCCATTCTAACAGGTCAATTTTCCCAAGCCTCTGGATACCTTCTTCTACATTATACCAAGGCAGGTCTGGTACTTCAACTTGACTAAGGTAGGCCACCACATAATCCATGCTTCAGTAAGCCAACCAAATAAATTATTAGATCTTTTCCTAACCTCTCGAGCTAAAACACTGAATGAAGAATCTGTACTTAATGGGCCTAAATCAATAAATTCAGACTGATCCAATGTTACATTGCTTGCACCATTATCCCACACCCTCAGTAGCCATTTCCATACATATTCTCCAGGTTTCTGTCTGTACATCTTAGCAAAATCAAGTCTTTTCGGGTGTAGCATACCATCTTCTCAGTCACAACTTTGTATTTCACCTTTTGGGACTCACTTGGACTTAACTTTAGTTATAGGTCTAGCAGCAACAATGGGTGGTTGGGGCAATTCCTGAGAACATTCAGCAATGTCTTCCATGGCCTCTGCCTCAGGCAATGACCCAGCAGGAACATGAGTTAATCCCATCAAACCTAGGTGGAGGGGATGGTGGTTTTACAGTAATCCTTTCAGATGGGAGGGATTCAACGGAATTTACAGGCTCCATATCCTGATCTTCCTGACTATCTGCCCATATGTCCCCATTCCAGTTTCAGGATCACATTTTTTTTTTCCCAATCAATGTCCTCACTTTAACTTCAGATACTATTTTGGGTTGGTAATTTAATTGGCGTTGTAATTCAGCCACCCTCACAATAAGACTCTGGATTTGGTTCCCGGCAATATCAGCTCTGTTACTAGAAGAAATAAGGCTTTCTTTCAGATCCCAACTGGAAACACTGAGGTCTTTTATGTGGTGTTTAAGCTGTAACTGAGCAGCTCTGAGCTCATCTCGCTCTTTTACCACTTTGTCTAGTGTAAGTAGGACCAACCAACCAGTTTCCTTATACTTCTCATGCTGACAAAATTGCAGAAAAGTATCAAATATGCAATCACCCAGAGCATCACTTCTCACAAGTACTTGATCAATTGGTGGTGCTATTTTGCATATTAATGTTGCCAGCTCACACCACGGATTAGCAGGGCGCTCTTTACTAACAGAGGTAGGGTCACCAATGTCTTTATGATTAATCAAATTGGAGAACCAATTTAGGAAGCCCATCCTTATGATTCTGTCTCTCTAGAACCACTCCTGCTACCAAATGTGTTAGACTGGGTTCTCTAGAGAAACAAAATCAGTAAAGCTTACATATATAAAGAGAAATTTATCTTAGGAAAATGGGTCACACACTTATAGAAGCTGGCAAGTCCAAAATTCTTGGATCAAACATCAAGCTGGAGGCTTTTTCTGACTCATGAAGCTGCATGGGCTGAGAAGCTCAGGTTGGCAGGCAGTATACTGGCTGTTTACTCCAATGAATGATGAATCCAACATCTCTAGGCCGAATGGTGGATTGTTCACTCATGGACAGTTGTAGGCAGCACAACAAAATCCCAATCCACAGAAGAGTGTCTCTTTTCCCAGGATGTCCATAAATATACTGGAAGCAGGCCACACCCCTAGGGAAACTCCCTTTCAACAGATTGGCTGCTAAAAATATACACATCTGGTCCCATCATTGGAACAACCCACATTACAATTGCTTAAACCACACAGAATTGTGGTTTTTCAATCCAGCCAAGTTGACACACAGCTCCAACTATCACATAACTGCTGCTGAAGAGTGAAGGCAGGGCTGCCATACCCAAGAGGCAGAGGAACGGGACCTGCCAGGCCAAGGGGGTGAGGTCACCACTCAGGAACTAGGGGACTGGAGCCACCCAGTGGAGGAGATCTATACAGGTGCTAAGTTGACAAGGGGTGGAATTGTGGTAGTTATGTTTGTGTGTCAACTTGGCTGAGCCTAGTTAAGTGGCTCCCCATGATGAGACTGGTAATCAACTCCATGGTGGAATCTACTGTGAGCAGCTGAGTAGCTGCCTTAGGGATGTGGTGGTCTGCTTCCTGTATATAAGGAGAAGCTTTGATGAACAGTCTCTAGCTTATGGCATGCTTGAACCTTGCATTTAGCCATGTCTTGCTCAGCAGCCTGCCATGCTCTGACAACCTTGGGACTTTCAATGGACTTGAACGTATGCCCTGCCTTGTGGTTTGGTAACATTGGGATTATGCCTTTTTACTTGTTAACCTTGGTCTTGTCAGTCTCAGCAGCCAGCAGCTGTGTGAGTGAAGAAAAGCCTCTAGCTCCAGTGGGCCAGGAGCAGGAGGCAGAGCTGAAGCCCAAGGCTGAGGGGCTTTAACCCAGCCCCTAGAGCCTGACCCTTTGAACTCGGACTTAAAGCCTCCAAAACTGTAAGAGAACAAACTCCTGTTTGTTCAAGCCATCTCATTTGTGGTATATTCTTGTCAGAGCAGCACTAGGTAACCAGAACAGCAGGTGAGTATTCATTTTACTATTATCATGTAAAATAAATGTATCTTGTAAATACTCTCTCTCATGAGTGAAGGTAGACCACTGTACATACCAGGAGGCTGTCATTCGAACAGAACAAGGGGACCCTGCATGGTTTAAAATCAGGTAGGGATTGCATCACGGTTGTATTCTTTCACTATACTTATTCAATCTGTACGCTAAGCAAATAATCCAAGAAGCTGGACTATATAAAAAAGATTGTGGCTTCAGGATTGGAGGAAGACTCATTAACAACCTGTGAGATGTAGATGACACAACTTTGCTTACTGAAAGTGAGGATGACTTGAAGCACTTACTGATCAAGATTAAAGACTATAGTCTGGAGTATGTATTACACCTCAATGGAAAGAAAACAAACGTCCTCTCAACTGAGCCAATAAGCAGCATCACAATAAATGGAAAAGACTGAAGTTGTCAAAGATTTCATATTATGTGGTTCCACAATCAACACCAATGGACTGCAGTACCAAGCTCTATGTCTTGGGACATAGTAAGCACTCAATATATGGAAACCATATGTGTAGTCAAGACATCAGAGAATGTACTGCACTGGGAAAATCCACTGCAAAAGACCTCTTTAAATTTCTGAAGAGCCATGGTATTTTTAATCGCTTCATATGCATGTGAGAGCTGGACAATGAATAAGGAAGACCAAAGAAGAGTCAATGCTTTTGAGTTGTGGTGCTGGTGAAGAATACTGAAAGTACCATGGACTGCCAAAAGAACTAACAAATCTGTCCTGGCAGAAGTGCAGTTGGAACGCTCCTTGGAAGCGAGAGTGGCCAGACTTCGTCTTACCTACTTTGGTCATGTTGTCAGAATGGACCATTCCCTGGAAAAGGATATCATAGTTGGTAAAGTGGAGGGTCAATGTAAAAGGGAAAGGCTCTCAACGAGATGGACTGACACAGTGGCTGTGACAATGGGCTCAGGTATAGCAAGTATTGTGAGGCTGGCACAGGATCAGGCAATGTTTTGTTCTGTTGTACATAGGGTCATAATGAGTTGGAGCCGACTTGATGGCACCTAGCAACAACAACACACACGAATGGTATATTTCAATTTTTTTTTTAAAGTGTGATTAAATCTATTTTTTATGGCAAAATTTTGGAGCATAATGTAAGTAAATTACTTGGGGCCCTCTCTCCCTCTTTCAGTGGGGAATCAAAGAGTAAAAATTATAAAAGGTAAAATGGGGCATTTTTTCATCAATATCTATGTACCAAGGAGCCCTGGTGGTGCAATCGTTAAACACTCAGCTACTAACCAAAAGACTGACGATTCAAACCCACCCAGTGGCTCTGTTGGAGAAAGACCTGGTGATCTGCTCCCATAAGGATGACAGCCTAGGAAACTCTATGGGGCAGTTCTGCTCTATCACACAGGGGCACTGCGAGTCAAAATGGACTCAATGGCACCTAATAGCAACTAACAACATCTAAGCATTGTTACATATATCTCAGAAGAGTCCCGGGGCAAAGTTCAAAAGCAGAACACAAGATACTGATAGAGGTGAGATAAGAAGAGCTCCCAGGCTTAGCTTAAAATTAATAATAAAAGTGGTTACCATATATTGAGTGCTCACTATGTCCCAAGACATAGAGCTTGGTACTGTAGAGAAATACTTCCTTTAATTCTCAAAACTACCCTATAAGACATCAAGTCCATATTCTTTCCACTACTCAGTATTCATAAGTAGACAGGGCCTCCTTAGGAAAAACTCATACTTATGAACTCACCCATTATTTCTCCCATCATTTCTCCTTTCTATACCTCACCCACTTCTTCTCAGAGTAATAAAAGCTAAATGGGGTGTCAAACAAATGCCCTATTTTTCCATTCTAAGTAGATTTTCTATATGGTCTGCACACAAGCTCTAGTTCCTCCATACCTTCCCAGGCTAAGAAAGAGGAACAAACAGAAGCTCTGTAGGTACAATATAAAAAAATAAAGTAGATTTAGCCCCAATCCTGAGGTACTTATAACAAAAGTGGAAAAGTTAAATGAAGATGAAGAACATAGAACACAAATGTGAAAAAATATTACAATTTGTACTAAGGAAATATTATTATTATTATAAGGTATTACTAAGGTAAAAACTATTTTTTATATATACCTCCAAGTATGTCTAACACTTACATGTGAATAAATAAAAACAGTCATAGGAAAAGAGGTATTTAATTATTAGCTATTTCAAAATTTCCTATGTCCTCTTCTGGCATTTAAGGCATCTAATTTGACATTACAAACTACAAAGCAGGTGATTGATTCAGTTGTCCTGTTTTCCTTTTTAGCCTAAAGTATAAGGATTTTAATACCTCTTCAGGTCTTCCCAAAGCTGGAGTTCCTGTAAGAAGAATGGCTCGTCTGGCTTTCTGTACTAATGGTAATAAAATCTTGCTGCGGGCTGCACTTCTGGACTTCATGTAGTGTGATTCATCCACTATAACCACTTTGAAGTTCTGTTTTTTTAGTGCATCTATCAATGTCACGGCATCCGTAGTTAAAAGACCATAACCCAGAACTGCCACTTTGCTGGTCGATATTCTCCTAGAAAACAAAATCCATGTACTTTCAAAATATTTCAGTAACCAATTTATCAGAAACAATACAACTCTGTTGGGAAGAAATATAGACGAGGAGAAAGAAAAAGGGAAAAATAAGAGAAGATGGTACTGCTAAACTAAAACCAAATCTACCGCCATCAAGTCAATTTTGCCTTATAGTGACCCGACAGGACAGAGGAGCACTGCCCCCTAGGATTTCCAAGGCTACCTCTATGGAAGCAGACTGCCACGTCTTTCTCCCTTGGAGCAGCTGATGGATTCAAACTGTCAACCTTTCAGATAGCAGCTGAGTGCTTTCACCACTGCATCACCAGGGTCCTCTGATGATGGTACTACTACTGAAACTCAATTTCTTTTAAGGTTTTACAGGCCTCAAGCATAATAAACCAAATTGAAAGTTCAAAATCTTGGTTAACCAAAACAAAACTTTTGATTCAATGGTCTTTGGAAGATTTGGGTATCAAGCAAACTACATTTTACTTAAGGTAAGAACATAGTGCTCTGAGAATATCTGCTTCCATGCACCTAAGATCACGTATAAAGTGGATACTCAAGTCATATCTTCAAAAATCCTTCCCCAAACCTTAGGCTAGGAGTGTTTCTCAACCACTCAGGGTACTACTGAGCAGGATAATATTTGATAGTGCAGAGCAGCTTGGTACACTGCAGGGCATTCTGCATTCCTGGTCCCGCCCATTGAAGGCCAGCAGAGTCGTCACCTTGACAAGAAAAACGACTGATTCTGAGGTGATGGGTTTGAGGAGAAGAGGTGGGAGGAGTATTGTCATGGGTAGAGAATCACTGAGCTAAAGTAGTCCCTGATGTTTTGAACTCTAATTCATACATCAAATTATTCTTTTACATATTCATCTCTATTACTACATCATAGAATCGGTGAGGGCAGGGTACATCTCTTCATCATCTTTGTATTCAAAAGCCAAATGCCTTAACCACTATACCAGCAGAGCCCCTTTACAGTTGTATGTTCCCAATAAAAGTTCATAGGAAGAAATAATTAGACAAATAAATGCATTGATATTAAACCAGATACCACTTTTGCATTTTCTCCATCACCAGTGAAAAATACAGGCCAGAATCAGTTTTGTAGTTCTCTACTCTCAACAAAAAAGCACAGGAAGTGCATTTTAAGTCCCTGATCAATCTATTTCATTTGAAGTCTTATGATTTTCTCACTGAAAAAAAAAAAAATCCAAAGAGGACTGCAGAAAAGAAATATAGTTAATATTACTCACTAACTCAGGTAAACTGAGAGTAATAGAAGAAAAAATTTGAAGGCTGCTGCAGCAATCTCCGTAGTTTCTATCCTGCCACCTCTTGGCTATGAAATAGTCTCTGTATAACTGGTATATGCTAGAAGGGAGCATATGCATTTGTGGTAACCACACATTGACATTGTTGGTGTCTACCTAATGGTGTACTTCTTTAAGTATCTCGAAGACATCAGGTAAGCTTTAGTGCCCTTAGCTGACATCTTCCACAAAAAGTATACATCATTTTTGTATACTTTTTTGCAGTGGTTTCTAAGATATCACAAGTGTTACTCAAATGAGAATATTATCCACTATTTGAATATTATCCAAATATGCAAGAGCATATTTCCAGAATAATAATGAAAATCATATGACCTAAATGCTATAAAAAATGATAAAGGGGAAATACTTTAAGAAAATTTAAATATAACCATTTACATAAGGTGTCGTTGTTGTTGTTGTTTTGCCGTCGAGTTGGAACCGACTCATAGCGATGCCTCCTTGGATTTCCGAGGCACTATCACTACAGAAGTAAATAAGGTATAGCTAACTGAAAATGGTTATGAGGACTTAATAAATTCTTTAAATTTTTAAGTCTTTTAAATTTTATGCAGTTTTATTAAAAGGCACAAGTTTTACATCTACATTTTATTTTAACCCTGCAAATAGTGTCTAAATTTCCTTGTCCCAATTAAGATGTATTCTTTTGAGTTAGGATTCTAAGGTAGAAAAAAGAAAAGGCCCTCCATCTACTTCATCTGGTTCTTCCTTCCACATTCACAAGGCCAATTTTATTTTTAAAAAATATTCTTTGTTACTAGTTTTAGAGAAACCACACTGTATAATAATACCACCATTAAAAAAATCTAACCAAAAAGTGACATTTATTTCAGGTAGATGTATTTATTGCTTTTTATCTGGGTCTCAGAAATAATAGTGAATCCCTGAAAGCATTATGATTTGCCTGATTCACTTAGATATTCAATGTAATAACTTATCAATATTAAAATTGATTGACTCATTCCAATGCTGGATAATAAAATGAAAAACACTTTTTATATTATGGTTTATTTTTAGAGTAAAGACTGCAAATAATTACAAATATTTCAATTAAAAACTAACAGAATAAAGAAAATCATACTTGCTAATATTACTTTTTAGTCAAACATAAAACTTCTACATCTATGTTAAATACATGTATATTAACTAACACTTGGAAAGCAAAATCTACCATAATTGATAATAAAGGCTCACAAAGATTCAAGTTAATCTATTCTTTGAGAAGTAATAAAATTTATTTTTAAACCATAACATAGTCAGTTTCTTTCTAAGTACACTTAAGGTATATATAAAGTAAATATATAACATACATCTTTAGAAGTAGAATATTTTATCTTTGCTTTTAAAATCTATCATCAGAGAATTTACTATATTGAATAATCTGAGTTTTAGGTAAATTTTCTTGAAAAATAATTCATAAAAAATGTAAAATAAAATTTTCCACTTTTATCTTTCAACACTAGATTATGATTTGTTGATGATATTCAAACTTGGAAATATACTAAATACACAAGGAAGACTTTTTTATTATTTAGTATTAAAATTGTTCTTACCCAACGTCAGCTTTATTCTGAATAACATTGATTTCCTCTGGATCTAGCTCTGGAATCCACTTCTCTATTTCTTCTGTCCAAGGGTACCTCAGAGATGAAGGGACCACTACTAAAAGAGGCCATTCTTCTTTGTAAAAGTAAGCAATTGCAATGGCCTGGATTGTCTTCCCAAGACCCATCTAAATAAAAAAGAAAAAGAAAGGCTAAAATATTTTGAAAGAAAAAAATTACTAAATATTTTACTTAAGAGTATTATTGGCAAGGTAATTTTGTAACATATATAGTAAAAGCAACTAAATTACACAGTAAAAATGCTCAAGATTATTTTGACCTTTAAATGCAAATTATATTATTTTTAAACTATGTGTAATGGGACTTACAGAGGCAAAAATGACCGCTAATTTTAAATATTAGTTATACTAATTTCATAGATCTTAATTTTATAAAGGTGTGTATCTACCATCTATAATTTCTGTCCTATGACGGAACCAAAGTATTAAATTCAAAACACTAATGATCAATTAGGAGCTCTGGTAGCATAGTGGCTAAAGCACTTGACTGCTAACCAGAAGGCTGGCGGTTCAAACCCACCAGCCACTCCTCGGAAGGAAGGTTGGGCAATCCTACTTCCGTAGTGATACTGCCTTGGAAACCCAAGGAGGGGTCGCTATGAGTCGGGGCCGACTCGACGGCACATAACAACAACAACAACAACAACAATGATCAATTAAGAAATAAGCAGGCATCTTGGAAAATAAGGAACAGTTCCCAAACCAAGTAGTAGTAGTATAACTCATGGAAGGATTAATCTATCTAATGAGATGATATGTTGAATACAAAGGTAAGCAACAGAAGAAAAGGGTATATAATAGTCTGATTCAACTTCTGCTGTTTGACTATTGACAGTTTTCCAGCCCTACCACTCCCCCTGCTCCTCTGCCCTAAATCTGGGCGAGATGACCAGAAAGCTTTACTGCTACCTACTTTGGCAGTAGTGGAAATTTCAAACCACTCAAGCCAACCTGAGCAGTGAGAACTGTCACCTTAGGCCCACCATTAATCACAATAAAAACCAAACCAGTCTTCTCTCCCTGCTCTCAAGCTACTTTTGGACCTGCTTCACGGCCTGCCCCGCTTTCCCCAGAAATTTTCATTATGTATGTAATAAAACTTTCATTCCTTCTTGGGGTGTGTGTGATTTCAAATTCTTCTCAAAATACTGAAAGCTAAAATCCAACACCCATTCCTCATCAAAACTCTCAGCAAAATAGGAATAGAAGGGACATTCCTCAACATAATAAAGGGCATCTATGCAAA